GTGAGTACCTCTGTGCTCTACTGCCTGATGCAGCTCGCTAGGGCTGCAGACTAACTAATAATTTCTTAATTGCTCATTTATGCTAGTCCGATTAATTTTGGCTTAGAATACGGCGTGGCAAGGTTGAGAGCCACCCATTCCATATAGGCCTATGTTCTCTATTTTTGAAAGGGAAAAATAGGTCGCAGCAGTCTGTTTGTATGACTTGCGCGACGTGGCTGGATAGAGAACCCTTTCGTTTCCGAGAAAAAATGTTCACTCACCCTTTATAAACCTCCCGTGTTTTTGTAGGAAAGGGGTACGAACAGCAACAGCAGCAACAACAACTATAAAACAAAAATAAAGAAAAGGGTGTTTATTTTGGCGGGATATGAACTGGTGAGTCAAGGAGCTGTATTTTTGTATAAGGAAACCTTCACTTTCGTTTCCCGATATGCGAGGACACACACTCGGCAGGAAAAGATCCAGTTCATACATACTTTTCTCCCTCTTGCCTTGCGTCGGAACTTTAAGACGGAGGCCAAGATGCTGGGGCTATGGCCGAGGCCGATAAGGAAGCAACTGGCTCACCTCTCTCCTCTCTCTCTTACTCTGACTCTTCTTGCTTCCTTCCTTTCTTACGGATATGTTTCCGAGTGTTGTTTTTCCTTTTTCATTCGCTTTCTTTCACTTCCCCCCTCTCTCTCTATTTATCTATCTTGCTTTCTCCTCTTCTCCTCTCCCCTCCTTGCTCTTCCCCGCTTTACCTCACATTCTCTCCCTCTCCCCCCTCCATTCACAAAGCATTATCATAACTGCATCTTCACGTGATGATTATTACTGCCTCTTACAACACTACCATTATCAACATTACCAACATCACCATCACCGACATCATCATCACATTACCAATTTACACCAGTACCTCCATCACCATTACCAACATCATTATCACCAACATCACTATCACCATCACTAACAGCACTATCAGCAACATCATCACGAAAATCATCACCATCATAATCACCAACCATCATCACGAAAATCATCACCATCATAATCACCAACATCAAAATCACCATCACTAACATGACCATCACCAAAATCACCAGAACCAACATCGCCATCAACATCACCATTACCAAAATCACCAACAATCACCATCAATCACACATCACATCACCAACATCGCCATTACCAAATCATCACCACACCATCACCACATCACCATCACCATCACCAACAACATCGCCATCACAAATCACAACACCATCACATCACCAACCATCACCATCACTAACATCAACACAACATCCCATTACAACATCATCACCAACATCACCATCACCAAACCAAACACCACCATTACCATCACCACATCATTCACCAACATCACCATCATCACACACATCACCAACATTCACGCATCGCCATTACCAAATCACCACATCACACCATCAAACATCACCATCACCAACAATCGCCATTACCAACATCATCACCAACATCATCACTGCCATCGCGCAGTGTCCGCAGTTGTACCCCCCCCTAAAGCCGGCTTCGCTGCCACCATCGATTGTCGTAAAAAGGAAAAAAAAAAAAAAAAAAAAAAAAAAAACGGGATCCGTGTCAAATTATACATAATTGTCTGTCAAATCTCATCAAATCCAACTTCAACTTTGATATTAATTTATTCATTTATTCAACTCTTCATTTATTTGTTTATTGGCCATCGCGAGGATGTCTTTGGAAGTTTCAGGTGATTGGAAAATATGTTGATTTTTTTTTCGTTTTGTTTGGTTGTAAATGCAAGTTATTTTGTTTTCGTTTGGTTTCTGGAATACTTGATTATTTACGCTCACTCTTCTTTGTCTTTCGTATTTCGTGTTTATATCCCCTCCCCTTCCCCTCCCCCTTCCCCCCCACGTGGGCCAGGAGCCGAGTGTTGGCAGAATCGAGGCCCACAGTACCCCCTCTCGTCCCCTCCCTCCCCTTCCCTTCCTCTGCTCTCCTCTCTCTCCTCTCCCCTTCTCTCTCCGCTTTTCTTCTCTCCTGTCGTCTCCTCTCCTCGCTTCGCTTTTCTTTTCTGCTCTTCTTTTCTCTTCTCTTCTCTCCTCCCCACTCTCATTCTCTTCTCTTTTCTTCTCTTCTCCCACTTTTCTCTTTGCCTTATCCTCTCGTCCTTCTTCGCTCTTCCCATCTTTTTTCCCCTCTCCTCCCTCCCCTCCCTTCCTCTGCTGTGCCCCAGACCTTGCTGTAACCGACTTCTCTCCTCCTTCCCATCTTCTTCCCCCTCTCCTCCTCCTCCCCTCTCCTCCCCTCCTCTACTTAGCCCTAGACCTAGCTGCAAATTTGACTCCCAAAGCTTGAAGTCTCCCATATAGGCAATGTCGTGCTCCTGGCTCCTTCCTTCTCCCCTCGTTTCCCCTCTCTGCTCGCCACCCGAAATGCCCACTTTCCCCCTTTCGCAAAGGCTACCCGGCTCCCTTTCTCCTTTCTGCGTGTCTTTTTTCCTTCTTGCCCCCGCTTCTTTCTCCGTCTCCCCTCTTCTCCCTTCGTTTCCCCCTCCTCGCTCCTTCTCTCTTCTTTTTTTTCCTTTTCTATCTTCTCCCACCTTTCTCCTCTCCTCACTTCTTCCTCTTTTCCCTCCTCCCTTCTCCACCCTTCTCCTCTCCTCCCCTTGTTTCCGCGTGCCCCTCTGCCCCGTGTCCCCTTGTCCTCCTCAACTCGTGCTTTCGTAAGAGAGAGTGAGATAGAGTGATGATGGCTGATTGTGTTATCTATAGAGGGTACTGAAGTGCGTTATATCTTCTCGTATTAAGATAATGAGGCGTCCCGATCATTTCTTTCTTCCTCCCCTTCTCTCTCTGTCTCTCTTTCTGTCTGTCTGTCTCTCTCTTTCTGTCTGTCTCTCTCTCTCTCTCTCTCTCTCTCTCTCTCTCTCTCTCTTCTCTCTCTCTCTCTCTCTCTCTCTCTCTCTCTCTCTCTCTCTCTCTCTCTCTCTCTATCTAGGTCTATCTCCCTATCTCTCTCTCTCTTTCTCCTTCCCTTTCCCTTTCCCTTTCCCTTTACCAGTCTCCATTCCCCATCTTTTCTTTTCTCTCAGTACCTCGCCTCTCTCTCCATTGTCCTCCCTCCCCCGTTTGTCCACCCTGCCTTCCTTCCTCTCCTCCTTCCTGCCCGGTAACTTTTGGCGTTGGGATTTCCTCCTGTGACGGTCGATCAATTGGCCAATCCTGTTCCTCCCCGCGGAAACGCCAGCGGTTCTCAGGTCGGAGGAATGTGATACGTCTATAGCCAAAGTTGCTTTAAAGCGGAGTATTTGTAATGTTCCACAGCGAAGTTCGATAACGCATAGCAAGAGCATGGTTTACGACAGCGCATATCTACGCATTAACTCTTCGGATATATACAGTTCAGATGTACTTCAGTTCTTAACATCGTACTGACGAGGCCTTAGTATCTCATCCTAATGACTAAACTTAACGCATGTATGAATGTACTCTCTTGTTAACTAATGGCTTGTCTTAGATAAGGATAAAGGATTTCTCGAAAGCCCCCGATGGCTTCGTTATACCAATTAGCGTGACCTTGAGCTTTTAGTTCATCGAGCGCCAGTTAAACTTAAATGAAATTAGAGACTGCAGAGGAAGAGCAGCTGGGCAGTTAATTCAAACACGATGAATGAAAATGTGTTGTGTCAGTGATTGGATAGATAGTGGGAACTAAATGAAAAGAACTTAAGCTGGCTTAATTGACGGAAATTATGCACAAGTCATTTGTATGACATTTGTGAAAGAGTTTGAGAGTGCGGTCAGAATCGTTTGCAAAGTGACTTATGGCAGCAGCAAAAGTCACGAAATCAATAACTGACTATCTGGCTCTGGCGAAAGGAAAGTGGGAAGAGGGAGAAGCCGAGGAAAGACGAGAGAAAATGGAAAGGAAAAGAGAGAGAGAGAGAGAGAGAGAGAGGGAGAGAGGGAGAGGAGTGAGGGGGGTCGATAGAGAGAGAGACAGAGAGAAGAAATGGACTGCATAAGCGCGAGTGTCTGAGGGCTGGCCACACAAGGATTCCTTATTAAACCTCAAAGACGAGCATCGAGCGAGTAACATCTCCTTCAGCTCTTGGCTTAGACAGGAGCATTTTCAGCCATTCAGATATTGATAGATTACACCTGCTAAGCCTTGTGATAAGCAGAGCCAGTGATTAAGGAAGAGATAAAATTGTTGTAATTAGAATCGTTTTTATTAGTTTCAGAGAGACTGCATCATGTGTGGGTGCTATTGGTATTCTCAGCATCTAGCAAGAGGAACTGAAAGAAAAAGGGTGTTTTAAGGAAATATCCCTTTGTAGTCCTTGGCAGTGTGTAAACTTATCCTCACAAAGGCACACGCACACTCACACTCACACTCACACTCACACTTACACTCACACTCACACTCACACTCACACTCACACTCACACTCACACTCACACTCACACACACACACACACACACACACACACACACACACACACACACACACACACACACACACACACACACACACACACACACACACACACACACACACACACACGCACGCACGCACGTACACGCACACACAGTATTCGTACAATGCGTATAAGCGCAAATTACCTGTCACTGAGGAAATGATTCAGTTTCAACCTAACCTTAACCTACATAATTTCCCCTTACCTTACCGCGAGACAATTAATTCCTCACTGGCCGTTTGCTCATCGCATGGACTCGAACGCCAGTCATGAGGCGGCCGTCAGTCATAAGGCGATTTCCGTCGTGTCCGTCGCCGGCCACTGCGACTGATTGGCCGACGGACTGACACCGGGAGTGACACGGCACGCGACAGCCGGCGCCGCGTCGCTTGAGGGGAATCGTGTCTGTTTCTGCAAATTGAATCTCCTCCACAGGTATTTCCCTTCACCTCTCTCTCTCTCTCGAGATCTTCCCGCTTTATCCCTCCTTTCCTCTTCTTTTCCTCATATCACTTCTACCGGCCCT